ATTTCCATTGTACTACTTTTTCGAATATTTCATATTTGTCACTAATCACGTGTGCGTGAAATAAGAATGATGGATTATACATGCAATATTATTTTAAACTAAGAAAATTAAAGTGAATGAATATAAAGAATAACGATTCAAACTGATTAACGCAATTTGTACCGAGGTGTATTTTTCTGTCGAGAGAATTTTTCAGCAGACAAGGGCTCCCATTGAGTCCGTTCCTCTTCTTTAAAATGGTCCACGGGTGGCAATAGTGCCTCTAATTCCGATGAGAGAGAGGCATCGCTGCATGAGCCGTTGCTCCTCGTTGTTGTCGCAGGCGTCGGCGTTAGCGTTGGCGAGTCTGCGGCCATTTCTGGCGTGATCGGTGTTTTCTTGAATTCCTTCTTCTCTACATTGCCGGAAGTCACTATGTTTTTGGGATTGTTAACTAGGACATCCTTTGAGGATTCCGTGCCTTCATCCTTTACAGGTTGTCCAGGAGCAAGAAGGCGACGAACATGAGCTTTTACCGCAGGATCTATATAAAATATCGATGAGATTCTTTAATTATGTCCTTTTTCTTTTGTAATTGAATCTTAAAATCTTAAAATTATATTAAAATCCATTTAAAAATATTTGAAGAGAAAGAAAATAAGAAAGATAATGGTGATATAATAATAAAAAGAGAGTGCAGAGAGAAAATTATGTGTAAAGTGTAGGAAAAAATGCGATGTTTCTTTAGAAGAAGAATATGAAAGATCGATGATTTATTTGACAAATAAAGTTTCGTTATCATCAAGGAAATGACTTAAATTGACAGAGTTTAATAGATTTATCTGCATTAATTGATTAAAATTAATAAAGATACTGATGTTAAAAAATAATAAACAATGATAAAAACGTTCTGACTACGAAATGATAAACAAAAAACATAAAAGCATCCCCTTGGGAGATTGTGATCGTCCGACAGAAAATCGTTTGTCGCTTTCGTGCTTCGTTTGAGGGCCGCTCGTGCGAATAATCACGCGTCCTTGATCATCGGCCATCCCTTTCCGTGAGGTATGTGCGTAACTTTCTCTGTTTATCGCGTTAGCCACGATGGTTATTACAGCGTTAATTCTATTATTATTACAGTGTCAGGTTCAAGAACGTGTGTAGACGGTGATCTATCAATAGATTGCTTACGATTGCAAAGTTCAGCAGCCTCATGAATACATAATCCGTTTGCATTTATAGTATGAACAGTGTTTAAATAATACGTATTGAAAATTATACGTAAAAAAATTAGATATACGTAAGCTTTTGTACAATTATACATTAAGAAATTTCTTACCCCTGCGTAGCTTCAGGGTGACGGGATCTGAAGACAGTCGCAAACATTTCAGTACTAAAACAAATTAATTTTAAATTAATTAATTTTAAAATCAATTTTATATTTTCGTTATATTTTCTTTCTTCTTTGTCTTTCTCCGCCTCTCTTTTCCTTCATGTTAAATTATTTTACTACATGTTTTTTTATATTTCTTCTTGTAATTATTGTTATAACCATATGTTTTTGATAAATTCTCTTACAGATCCTGTTTTCTGAAGTGTTGTCAAGTTCAATTTCAATAGTCATATCAACTAATGTAATTAAAATTCTGATCAACTCATTATAGTTTACATTAAAACAGGTTACGTTACATGTTGAATCATATTTTATCACATTGTTATAAATGACATTTAATTTATGATAGATGACAGAATATAAATAGAAAAAGAAAACAAGGTTCTTAAAACAAATGAAAAAAATCGCAATTATTTTGTTTTCATCATTTGTATTTGAATTCAATCTTTTTAATAAAAAAATTATTTATAGTTCTCGACACCCCCCCCCCCACACACACACACACACACACATTTTGTTATATTAATATTATCTTACTTTTTATTTACTAATATTATCTTCTACTA